AACCAATGAAAAAGTGGCAAATGAAATTATTTCAAAGGGCAATAGTGCTATTAACAATATCTAAATAAACATATACAAAAAACTTTTTTTAAACCCCTCATAAATTGATGAATGTGGAATTGCTGTTGTCCAGAGCCACAAAAAATCCAAATGTGATAAACTTCTTGTAACAGTACAAGTTAAAAACTACAAAAAAAAAAGCCAAAAGATCCCCCCAACCCTCTGGATTCTGGAGTCCACATCATATACTTATCACAGAGAGATCATAGACCAATAGCTGTTTTGGTCTACAACAGAACACACTAGAAAGATAAGGCACTAATACTGTAATATGTGCTTTATTAAAATCATATTATTGAAAAAGTGATGTCAGTGCCATCAACTCCACAGGCTTTTATGTCACACTTTTGCCTTACTTCCGCCACTACAATTAACCAGCTACAAATAATTCACTGCATATAACCCTAACTTTGCTCAAATCTAGCTACCATAAAGTTAAGCTTTGCATATACCCTTATTCCACTAACTACCTTTATAATATGTGGAAACAGATGTAACTCACTACTGCCAGCTACCTACCACTAATAAAAATGACAGTAAAACAGATAATAGCTGTGTGTGTGTGTGTGTGTGTATAATGAAGAATCTTCTGCACTTGTCCTGTTCTGTAAACTTCTCTCTGTGTCTCTCTCGGATCTCTCCCCGTTATCCTGGGTCACATTTACTCTCTGCTGCCCAAGTCCTGGTTCCCCCATGTCCCCCATTTATTTTGGGGCATGACCAAAATATGTGACAAATACTTCCCTCTCTATTCCCACATCTCCAACATGTATCTGACTCTTCTGGTTTAATCTCATGTAGAATAGTCGGAACTCTGTACCGTCATGTTAGGATTTTAGAACCTACTTCTTGCAATCTGCTAGAGATAGAGGAGTATTGTGAAAAATATAATATATTATGTCTTTGTTTCTCAGTAAACCGTCTTTGTAGATCTCTTTCCCACTTACTGAGGAACAAAGGGCAAAACTGATCTGAGGGTTCATTAAGCATATGATATATCTTAGCTAGAGCATGCCTCAACATCCCTTTTTCACTACACCATTTCTCAAAAGGAGTCCTCGTCCTTGTCCCATTGAATCTTCTACTAAAGGTCTGCCATAAACTATACAATTGGAGTATCTGCCATCTAAAGAAGATAGGAGAGAAGCTCTCCGAAAGCTCTGATATCGCTGGAACTCCTTCTCGAGGCACAAATTCATAGAATCTACATTTCCCTCCATCTGTAATATTTAAAAATGGTGTATCCTGCAAACCTGGTAGAAACATAGGATTACCTAACACCGGAGTCATGGGACAGGTGGCCTTGTCTGAAGTTGCTTTTCATGGATGATGATCGCACTGCTCTTAATGTGGGACGTATCAGTGGATGACTCCAGCATGACTTAGGCCTTGTTCACACCAAGCGCGGAGCAGATCCGGACCAGAGCAGGTGCAGACCGTATCAAAACTGCGTCCAATGTATTCCTATGGTATTTTGACCTCCAGTTCACATCGCAGCGTGCGGATCCAGACCAGATCCAGAGCAGGTGAAAAAACTGCGGCAAGCCCTATTTTACCTGCTTAAAAACGCAACGCAATGCAACCCAATGGGTAAAAATAACCATAAAGAAAAAAAACCTCCTTTGGTCATCTGTCATGACCTAATCTTCCTTTGTCACTTCCTGTCTTTGGAAAAGGTGACCTTGTGAGCTGGAGATGGGGGGGGGTTGGGCGCTTGCTATTATTGTATATAAATCAGTAGTACATATCGTCCAATACAGATGTCCAGATATCATGCAAAATCCATTTGATTGATAGCTGTCATTCAATCGACAAGCGCTTTTGGGGCTGCGCAGGGTCTGCTTCATCAGGCTCATAAATGCGCTTGTCGTTTGAATGACAACTATCAATAAAATGGATTTGCACTAGGGATGTACCGATACTGATACTAATATCGGTGCAGATACTGAGTATTTGGGCGAGTACTTGTACTCATCCAAATGCTCCGATATCTTCCCCGATACCGGAACTTCCAGTCATAGGGAGATGTCCCTCTGACCGGCAGTGCCAAGGGAGCATACAGCTGACGTTCTAACCAATTAGGAAGCCGGGTGGTGGGTTATGACCCGCCTCCTTGTTTCCTGATTGGCTAGGAAGCCTGTTTCACTTGTTGCTAGGCAGCCTGGCTTCCTAACCAATCAGGAAGCCGGGCTCGCTTTCCGGCCTCCTGATTGGTCAGGAAGCCACACTGACTAGAAAAAAGTGAAGCCAGCTTCCTAGCCAATCAGGAAGCCGGGATGTGGGTCGCAACGTGCCCCCTGGCTTCCTGGTTGGCTAGGAAGCCAGCTTCACTTGTTGGTAGGCAGCCTGGCTTCCTAACCAATCAGGAATCTGGGCAGTATGTCATGTCTCGCGTCCCGGCCTCTTGATCCGTCAGGAAGCCATGCTGCCTAGAAAAAACTGAATCCGCCTTCCTAGCCAATCAGGAATCAGGGAGGTGGGTCGCGACTTGCTGCCTGGCTTCCTGATTGGCTAGGAAGCCAGTTTCACTTGTTGGTAGGCAGCCTGGCTACCTAACCAATCAGGAAGCCAGACAGTACGTCATGACTCGCATCTCGGCCTCCTGATCAGTCAGGAAGCCACGCTGCCTAGAAAAAAGTGAAGCTGGCTTCCTAGCCAATCACAAAGAGGGTTGACATCATGACTCGCCGCCCCTGTTCTTGATTGGTCAGGAAGCTAGGCAGCCTCTGAAGCCAGTGTTCTTTCACTTGAAATCAGGAAGCCAGGCGAAGGGTCGTGATCTGTAAGGGGCACTTACTGTTTATTCATAAAACGAGGGGATAGTAAATGTTTACCATCTCCTTAGTTATTGAACAATACTGGAGTGATCAGTTCTGATTACTCCAGTGTTAATTGTAACACATGTAACTGATATATAACATATAACACATTTATACCACTCCTCCAGTTGCCATCTTGAATTTGCCTTCCTTCTGTCATGATGCTCCCTCTGTGTCCCCTCTAAACCTCACCATCCTTGCTGGTATCGGATGGAACACAGTGGACATAGTGGGGGGACAGATTTCCAGTGCCCAGTGGGAAGGATTGAGTGGCAGATGAGGACAGACCAGAGTGTCAATGAATCAAGAGGACCATTCTGTTTTAAGTTTCTGGTAGCTGATTTGCAATTTTTTCCTTACTTATTATTTTTTATTACAGCTTTTGTTAAACAAAAAGTCAACATCAGAATGTGTTTATTTTACTGAAAAAAACCCCAACTTACTATAGTGAGTATGTGCACAGTCTTTAAACACTTCACTATGATGCTTTTTCAATGGGACCCACACTAGCCTACTTTTTTTAATGCAGCAAAAAGCCCCCAAAATATTGCAGTGACTGCATTGGCATTTAATGAAAATGTGAAATAAAATAAGTACCCCCCTAAAAATAGCAAGAGGGGTCCAGCAGGTAAACAGCAACTAAAGTTTTTGCTGGCAACACAAAAAGGTATGTATCCCTTCAAACACTCTGTAATCTTCTACGGTGTCTATGTAAATATAGACATTTTCAGTAAACGCTAGCAGAATATAACTCTCCTTTAAAACACTCTGTGATCTCTCCATAATTTGCTATTGGAGTGGGTCTGTGACTCATTGTACAAATTATGTTTTTAGAAATCAGCAGCATAAACTATCTCTCTCTCAGCAACACTTGTGGTCTTTCCATGCTTCCACCAAAACACACTGAACAAAGCCTGCTAAGAATCCAAACTTTTGTTGAGAGTGGTCTGGCACATAAACCCCCCATTATTTACCCTTCTAAGCCACCTGACCACAGTTCAGATACCAGTGATAATTGGTTGTTATAGACATGAACAGCTGCATTTGTTCACAATTTTCTTAAACTGTAAATTACTTGGGTTCAGGGATAACCCATGGTCGACCCAGACCCAAAGCTTATCCCTAACTATGAGATCTGTGCATGTTCTCAGGTATGAATCTTTTCACAAAATTGATTTGCTTAATAAAACTGTGAGACCTGATCCCAGGCATACTAAAAATAGACTTTGAGCTTACACACGTGTTAAAGTACTTTTACATTTAACCATAATAAGAACATAAATGTGCCTTGATATTAGCCCCTGCCATCGCTTTAACAGCAATATTTAAAATTGAAGTGGTGGAGAGCTAATCAGACTCTGTTTTTTGCACATGTGCAGATAGTGAACAGGCATAGAGGCAGGGAGAGAAAACTTGATTATTATCATTCAGAATTTATATAGCACCAACAGTTTGCTCAGCACTTTGTAATATAAGAACATCACAGGTACAATACAAATTAAGACAAGATGGTAAGGAGTGCCCTGCCTGTGAGAGCTTACAGTCTAAAAGGGAGGAGCAAGTGATAGAAGAGGTGGTAGCTGTGTAAGGATGAATTGTTTGAGAAAGTTATAGTTCAGTGACTAGGTGGTTATGGAGCTAATCAGGCTCTGTTGTTTGCATATGTGCAGACAGTGAACAGGGTGACAGGAGGGGAGAGAAAACCTGATTATTATTATTATTATTATTATTATTATTATTATTCAGGATTAATATAGCACCAATAGTGTGCTCAGCACTTTGCAATATAAGGAGGATATCACAGGTACAATCCAAATCAAGACAAGATGGTAAGGAGGGCCCTGCCTGTGAGCGCTTATGGTTTAAAGGGGGGGATCAAGTAATAGAAGAGGTAGTAACTGTGTGGGGATGAATTGTTTGAGAAAATTATAATTCAGTGGTTAGGTTCAGGCGGGATAGGCTTCCCTGAAGAGATCACCTAAAGGCAGACAGAGTAGGGAATAGATGGACAGGTTGTGGTAAGGAGTCCAATGGATGGAAGATACTCTATAGAAGTCCTGGAGGTGCATTTGGGAGGAATTTATGAGAGAGCTAGAGAGCAGGAGGTCTAGAAAGGAGCAGAGGGGGTGGTTAGGGTGATACATTGAGACGAGGTTGGAGATATAGCTGGGGGCAGAGTTGTGGATTGCTTTTTACAACTGCATTCCTTTACTGTAACAGAGACCTTGGTGCTTCACTCCTGGCTGTGTTTCCTTGCAGAGGTATAAAAAGACAAAAAACTGACTGTAAAAATGACAGCTCTTTTGACAGGTAAGACACCTTGTATGTGTATTCCAACTTTGTATTTAGCTATTTGTTTGGAGTTTACAGTAGCTTAAAAAAGTAGCACATTAATTCACATGGCTATACATGTTAAATTTGTTGTGTCTGCCCTATTCAGCAACTGTGTTCAATTTTGGTACTTGCTGTGTTTGCTAGCTGGATAGTAAATATGTTCAGACAAAGGGGAAAAGTGATTTACATAGGTACAAGATTGTGAAATTAATTGCAGATAAAAATTAATTATGGTACATCAATGTCCATAATTGTCATTAAAATTAGTGTAATTGCGTTTTTCCATCCTAGCATGGCTCTATATTTCATTCATTTGACTAAATAATTATTCTTCCTGGTTGAAATAATAAAATATAAAAAGACTGGCTGCTAGATGCTGAGTTACTTTTGAGGACAAACAATGATGATAACATTCACTGATACATCATGTATATTTTCCTATAGCAAAATAATTTCTCTTTTGTGATATTAGAAAATGTATTTTCACAGTTTCAATGGTCAATTTGTATAGATTATGTGCTATTTAAATGTTAACACCTTCAAGCTTGAGTAAAGATTTATAGTATAGTATACTGCAGGCACCCGTCAACCAATATAAATGCCTACATTTTTCTGTATCACTAGGGGTTTTCCTAGGATGCAATACCTCGTATCATACAAATCTTTATATCTTGTGTCAGGTTCAAGGGCTGTGAAAACTTGACAGTCTTTGGTCTGTTTTATTTAACAGGACTAGCAGCTGCCTGAGGATTTTTATCTTTATACCATTATGTATTGTATCTGAAAATGACTTTTTCCTTGAATGATCATGGTATTGCTTAGGTTGTATTTCTTAAACCCATTTGAAAATGCTGTTGATTTATTTTCAATTTCCAGTTTTCTGCTGGTTTTGTCATATATCTCTAGAAGTTAGGGTGTGAGGGAGCAAGTTTTTAGCTTGGCTTAAATACAGAGACACCCCAATCTGATTTATTTCAACTTTAAAAAAAGGCTTTATAGGTAGTGGGTTGTTTTATTGTGACTTCAAAAGTGACATGGGAAATACACCATTTATTCTCACAAAATTAAAAAGACTTCATGCATGTGGTAATATTACCTACTATGCGAGCGTTTGAATTGGCCACAAATACAAAAAGACAAGGTTTTATCCTTCAATAAAAATTGGAGTGTATTATCTGAAAGACAATAGCCACAAATATTGTACAGTGGCTGGGCAATATGTAAGCAGAAATAAAGAGGGAAAGACAAGGCAGGTTTCACTATAAATAGAAGTTAGAACATTATATTTAAGAGATAATAGCCACAAATATTGTTCAGTAGCTAGACAGTTTGTCAGCTGCTAGGTAAGGCTGCAGTATCAAAAGAGAAATGAGTCAGGTTTTATCTTGGAATAATAATTAGAGTGTATTACCTAAGAGACAATAGCCCTGAATATTTTTAAGTGCTGGGTCACTGGAATAGGCTGTAAACTTTTAGACACAAAGCAGGATTCTCCCTGCAGCAAACATTAGAAAATGGAGTGAGTCCTCCTCATTACAATTCACAAATTTTGGTTCAGAAAGGTGCCAAAATGCCACACCCATCCTGAATGATGAGGCATTGATGTGGTGAAAAGAGCCTAAGCTAGCCGGAGCCTATCCTCACATCAGAATCACACATTTACTTATTGATGGCACACTGATGCAGCCTCTGCATTTGACCAATGTTGAGTTGTAGCATGTTGGGGTGTCAAAGATGAGTCAATTGGCAGGCAGCTTATGCTGGTGCTGTATTTTTGCCAGGCAAACACTGACCAGGTATGACCACCTAGCAGTGGCTTGTACCTGTGGGATGGTGCTTTCAGATGCATTAGGAAAGCTGTTTCCTCCAGTCCCCTGAAGAAAGCCTCTGCTAGAAAAAAAATCCCCCAGGTTGCTGTTCTGCCTTTCTCTCAGAATCTTCCTCCTCTCCAATTTGTGGCACCCATGGACAGGCTGTAATCTCATCATCCACCCCCTCCTCATCCCTGGAGTCTACTTACCAGTAAGTGTTGGCTGCTGGAACATTGTTGCCCTTTGCTTCAGCCTTGCCTAAAGTTCTGTCCCTGTATTGTATCTTCCTTATCTTTAATATCTGCCATGATAAATGCTTGTGCATGACAATGATCATCTTCCTGCACATAGGATCTGCCTCGTACACATGGTAGTGGCAAATCCAAACATCATCCCTAATCTCTATAGATAAAATGGTTGTTCAAACTATAATTGTTTTAGTTTCTTTATTGAGTAAAAATATCAGTTGATTTAATGGTCAAAATATAACTAATTACCTAGAACTGTTAAACTGCAAATACTGCCGTCTTCATATTGCATTTAATGTATTTTTAGTGTATTGTTTTTGCTCAATCTGTTTTTCAATGGCTGACTAAATGTTTTGGAAAAGAGCGCATTTTTTATTTTACTTGTTTCTGAATTGCATATGTTAGCTAAATGGTTCCCATATTCAATTTGTTTTGCTTTGATAACTTTGCAAATAGTTCCACAAATCAAATTTTTACATTCATGTTTCATAGCACAATCTATCACATTGCATTATAAAACAAGTATTCCAGAGAGCCTGACGGGAATCTTTGTAGCATTCTCAAGGTTCTTATGCTGAACAAAAAAGCATTTCAAAATTATATTTCCAAGTTTCCAACAAGTTTATTTCTCAAGTCATATTATGGTATAATTGCACATCCATTCCATTATGGTTTCCTGATTGGCTGGGAAGCGGCTCCATGCTCTCTCATCACTTGTGATGAGAGAGCATGGAGCCAACTTCCTGGCCAATCAGGAAGCCGGGCAGCGTGTAATGATGCGCTGCCCGGCTTCCTGATTGGTCAGGAAGCTGGCCAATTAGGAAGCGGGGCGCCGTGTAATGACGCAGAGCCTGGCATTGTGATTGGCCGGGAAGCCGGCTTCATGCTCCCTCGCCATCTCATGACGATGGAGCATGGAGCCGGCCTCCCGGCTAATCAGAAAGCAGGGCACCGCGTCATTACACGGCGCCCGACTTCCATGATTGGCCAGCAAGACGGCTCCGGTTGGGTACCGAGTAAAGGCCGCTCCTGGGTGGAGAGGCCCCGGGGTGATTGGCTGGACATGCTGAGGTGAAAGGGGCAGACTTTCTTGTTAATTGGGAAGCCGGGTGGCGAGTCTTTACATGCTGCCCTGCTTCCCGGCTGAATCAAGAAGCCAGGTGGCGAGTCACTACACGCCACATGGCTTCCTGAATGGGACTTCCAGTACTCGATAATTGGTATCGGAGAGTACGGAAAAAAATTATCGGTACTCGTACTCAGTACCAAAATACCGGTATCGATGCATCACTACTTTTAACAATATGATTTGGGGATGCCTTAAACCAGCTGTGAAGTTACAAGACAGTACAAACAGTAGAGTAGTAGAGCTGTACTCCTTTTAAAAGTGACAAATCTGGTCAATGATGTAATCCAGGATCCCTGGCCAGTTGGTTTACATACAGAAACCATCCGGGGATCTGTCATTTGTGATGGGAGTAGTAGTGGGCGGCAGAGGGTCAACATTGTTACACATGATTGACATGTATCAACATTACCTGGATGACATGATTGATGTTGATTTTACATATGGGGACATTGTGTATATTTGTCATAGTGTGCATGTTTTTTTATTTACTTTTTTGTAAATGACCTACAAGGTGCACTATGTACCCCATAGTCATTCAGCTAGGGGGTGGGTCATATATCTTACATAGTCCCATAGTTACATAATTGATAAGATATAAAAAAGACACAGGTCTTTTATGGTTAGTGTCTTCTTCAGAGACCTTAGACAAACATTTTACTACAATTACTACATTCACCTTTGATTCACAAAGGTGACTGTAGTAATTATGATCAGATCTTTTCTTAAGCACCCTTTCCCCAGAGTGAATAAGTTTAATCTATGTAATCTTTCCTCATAGCTGAGGTCCTTCAGATTCTTTGCTAATTTTGTTGCCCTTCACTTTATTCTTTCTAGTTCAAAAACATATTTGTTATGGACTGGTGATCAAAACTGAACTGTATACTCAAGATGAGGCCATACCAGTGTTGTGTAAAGGGGCAGAATTATTGTTTCAACCCTTGAATAAATACTCTTGTTAATGAATGAGAGTATTCTGCTAGCTTTGTTTGCTGCAGCTTGGCATTGAATGCTTTTTCCATGATCTATTAGGACTCACAAGTCTTTTTCCATTCTTATTACCCAGGGGAGTTGCTTCTAATGAGTATTTTACAAGCATTTTTTGGTACCCATGTAGCCATGTAGCTGCCTATCCATCTATTCTGTCAAGGTTTCCCAGTAACATTAGTATATCCTGTGATGAATTTAGTGCCCTGCATAATTTAGTATCATTAGAAAATGTGGATATTGAACTCTTGATACCACCCCCAATATCTTTTTATAACCGAATTTAACAGTATTGGCACACTATTAAAAACCTTAGTCCATTCTGAGATGGAGGCATTTATCACTACTCTCTGGACAGCTTTCTATCCTTGCATATACAATATCATTAATGTCAATGGGCCTTCATTTGTAGATTAAACATTTCTGTGGTACAGTATTGAATAATTTAGCAAAATCCCAAAAGACTACAACTTTTAATAAAGGGGCTCAAGATTCTGATAAGTCTACCGTACACAGACTCCAGCATCCCTTTTGGGGGACAGGATGTGGGAATGAGGCCCTTGTCCCCTCAACAATTGGATAAGGTGCCCATAAGGGGGGGGTTGGCATGGTATCGTTCAGGAGGGGGTCCTCATAAATATTCATGAAAGACCTACATCACCACATGTAGTCTGGTTGTAGGCGGTCTTT